TACTAAATTTCACTGGCGTGATGTCGGCTAAATGAGCTGTCGGTGAAGTGATTGTCGGTAAAATAATACGGACCCATGTACTTCAATTGACTGAAGTTACACCTGCTAACTAATGTGAATTTCAGTCAAGTGCAACCGAAGTTGGAACTCTAGGCGGGTAACAACTTCAGTCGATTGAATTTGACCAATAAAATAATTTTGAAAAATTCGATTTTCGACTTAATTCGAATTTAAATTTAAAGCAAAATATGATATCACTAATTAAATAAATTCAGGTTCAACCGGTTCCAAAACTCTAATACATTTACATCTGTGCAGATTTATCTTGTTATTAATTCGCATTAGGGTGTACAATTTTTATGTTATGATTATTTGGTAACTCTTTGTAGGAAATTTAATTTGACTTTAGACAATTGTCAAGTATTTTTTTCGGGCCAACAATAAAGCTACGCCTCAACTTTTGCAAATGTACAAATTAGAAAAAAGTAGTCCAATAGAAATATACTATCTAACTACGGATTCTACACCGCAGAATTTGCGGAATTTCATAATCCTGGACACCCTAATTCGTATAGTATCTGAAATTTTGATGTTACAGTTTTGATAAAAAAAGAACATTCAAATAATTCAAAATAATATAAAATTTTGGATTTTTATGCGAAATTCTGTGTACGGAAATCATTTTATTTTTAAAAATGTTTAATGTACGGTTTTACATAGAAACTAATGTACGTGTGATTTACGAATTTATAAATTTGACTGTCTTTGTCCGCGGAAATTTTATTAATTAATAAAAGTATACTTTATTAAGGAATACTTATACGTATATCCATCTACGTTTATTTTTATGCATTTATTTCCTATTTTGTTCTTATTATTATTATTTTATTGTACTCTTAGTCTATTAAATTGCTATACAGTGTAAATCTTAATATGTTTGCAAGTTAGATTAAATTTACAAAAGGCAAACAAACATAACGCAAGATTTTACAAAACTGGTTTGTCCACATGAACACGTAAACATTCGGCTGCTATATGTTCAGATGGAATGTGTGCTTTGAGTGCTAGTTTTGTTCTAAATACTTTTTTGCACCCATTCCATTGACAAACGAAAGCTTCCGTGATAATATTTATATCATACTCTTCTGAATCGGGTTTCTCTAACGGTTCTACATTCATATTTTCTGCATCCATTTTTTCTTGATTAGTATTATCATCATCCATTTCTTTGGTACCTTTTGATTTTTCAGAAGTTCCTTCTTCACTGCTCTCTTCATTTTCTTTGCTTCTTTTCTGAACCGCACCTGTTATCGAATCTTGCATCCCATTTTCTTCTCTAGTTCTTTTTAAGGAAGCTTTTTCGACCGTCATTTTTTCCTTATTATGTTTTGTACGACCTTTTTCACGTAGCATCTCCACCCAATATTCTCTCATTTTAGAATCTGACCGACGAATTTGCTCTGTTATAAGACTCGTAACTCTTTTATGATAGACAAGCTCCCCTTCTGTCATTTTTAATTGTGAATCCTTAAGCATAAGCTGTGTTTGCAATTTTCGCAATTCAACCATCAAAAATTTTTCACGATCACTCTGTCTTGACTGTGCTTCCAGTGCAGCAATTTTCGCTTTCAGATTTTGTAACTCTATTATTAATTGTTCATTTTCTTTCTTAAGCTTTGACTGAGGTTCTTGTAATGCCGTTGCCATCATATTTCTCAACTCACACTTTAGGTTTTCATTTTCTTGTCGCATTATCTCATTTTCTTGTATAATCCTAATAACATTACCATCTTGATATGTCTAAAATAAAAATGGTTGATTCCTTTATTGAATATTAAAGTGAAAATATACATATATAGACGAACCTGCACCAATGGTAAACCTGCTGCGCGGTAACTCTGTTGTGAAGGTGGGATTATGTTGTTACCCTGTTGTGCTGAGTGATATCTAAGATTGTTGTTATGTGATGAAGCATTTGCTCCCATTTGAACCGGAACTTGAACTCTCTGACTAGGAACTTGAACCCTTTGATTAGGAACTTGAACCCTCTGATTAGGAACTTGTACCACCCGACTCGGGAATTGAGCAGTTTGACTCGAGACTTGGGTCATTTGACTAGGAACATGTGCCGTATGACTCGGGACTTGGCCCATCTGGCTCGGGACCTGAAATTGTCGCTGAACCTGATTCGAGGATACATTAAAAGACGGAGCTGAATGCCTTTGGGTCTCAGGAAGATGTGAATAATGTAGTGTCTGCGACATTTGACTTGGTCTTGTGTCAAACTCTCGCATTACAGGCATCCTGTTATTTGTGACTTGTTGTGTAGCAGAAACCTATTTGATACGAACGAACTCGTTATTTCGGGAATATTGAATTAACGTACTATATTCGGAAATTACCGAATTAGCCACTTGAATGGGCTTATCAACGGTGGTTTCGTCGTCATCTATAATTACTATTTCTTTCTATATACATAGAAACGGATGTTATAAGAACCATCACAAATTAGTTTTTTTTTTGTTTTTTTTTTTTTTTTTAAAAAAAAAAAAGAAATAATAAAAGATAAAATAAAAAAAGTAAATAAATCAAGTACGAACTGGCACAACGGTATCGACTTGCCGTGAGCTGTCAGGTGGTAATTGAAGTCTTTGGGTTTGTGCACAAACTACTCTCTGGCTTTCCTCAATTCGTTGATTCTGTTGGTTTAATTGCAATTCTAATTGCGAATCTGGTTGTTGTTGAACTGACTCGGAAATATTCTGTACTGCTACCCCTTGGTTCATTTGTGATTCCTATTCAACCAATATCGGAAATTCAGGATAACTAATAAGTGAAATAAATAAATCAAAGTTTATAAATCGCATTTTTTTTTTATAAATTTTCTACCGTTGAAATTTGTCGGCTGGTTGTCGGCGTTTGTTCCGTGTTCGATTGTTGTGATTGTGTTAGTGATTGTGTTTGTGATTGTGTTTGTGATTGTGCTTGTGATTGCTGAGTAGATAAGTTGCAATGTTTTTCCATTACATGATTAAGCAAATTTTCCGTTGATGTGGATTCTTTACTCTTACAATCACCCCATTTGCAATGAAATAATGGAGATTCAATATTCAAAATTTTTATGTGTATTTCCTTCAGATGTATTATAAGATCTTTTGCATTATTAAATCGCTGATCACATCCTTCCCAACAACATATATATTGTTGTTTTTGGTATGTAGAATTATTATTCTGAAAAGAGCTATTACTTTGAAGAGCTCCTAATTGATTTGTTGTGCGGTTTAAGGGAGATGATGATATTGTAGACATAATATTTGTTGATTATTGGACAATTACAGTATTCTATTTCCCTTTTATATCAACTGAAGAAATGCTATAAAGAATTATATCTATATGTAAATACGTACGTCGTACGTGTGTTAGTGTTCATGTGATGGTGATTAAACAATCGTCATCATATGTTAACGTTAACTAATTAATCGACAATTACAATTATAAAAATAGACATTTACCGTAATTGTGTAAGGTTGTGATCTTATGATTTGAAATTCGCATTTGGGGGAGGATTGAGGGTATTTGTATATAAATAGACAGTGAAATCTACTATTTGCCTTCTTTTCTGTAATACTGCGCCAAATGCGTATCTTTTGTTGATAATATTATATTCACCTTATTAACTTTATCGTATAATATAGCATCACTAATTAATTGAATATTTTTCTTTTACCTTTTTTATAGAAAATAGGTGCAAATTCTGTCCATAATGTAATAAAGAAAAAAAAAAAAGAAAAAAAAGGAAGAAATTTTTAAGGCGTACGTACGTACGTTCCTGCGTTGCAATTTATACACTACAATTGATATGATAAAAGATCGGCCAATTGTGTAATGTACATGAAACATATTGCATAATCAAAGTTAAATAATTGGTGTTTTAAATATTTGTCTAACATAACACAAAAATTATTATCTTATTTGAGTTAGATTGTAAAAAAAATAGAATGTGATTAATAATTAAAAATATTTTAAAACTATATTAATTGGTAAAGTTTAGTAATACAAAAAAATTGCTATACTTATTAGCTAATCTATTAATTGCAAAGTTTAGTAATACAAAATTGATTTACTTATTAGCTAAATATGTTTAAAATTTAAATTATACAAAGTTAATGTTTTGAATTTTACAGTATATATGTAAGAATTTTAAATCAAATTTAATTATATAGCTATTTTATATATAAATATTTTTAAAAAAATTTATTTGTTATTAAAAATAGTTTTTTTTAAATTGATAATTCGTCACAAATCGGTACTATAATCATAGTGTAACGTAACGCAAATTACTATATAAATAGAAATAAACTATCTACTTAAAAAAAAACAAATTTTATACTATATTAACTATCTTTCAAACTTTAAATAAAGTTGTAAAGCTTGTTAAGAAAATTTTAACACTAGTTGGATCATCGAAATCGGCCTAGGATGTTTTCAAAAAACGGTTAATCAATTATATTATATTTATACAAAATTTTATATAGTTAATTAATCCTTTTTTGATAATATTTTGATATTTACTAGGCCGATTTTTACTTAAAGCTTAAAAAAGTAGTTAACATAGTAAAAAAATTTTTCTTAGATTAAAATTAATTATTACTATAGTTAAAAATTTTTTAAATTGGGTTTAGGTCGCAGATAAATATGTCTGAGCTTCTATTCTTGCATGTAATTTTTGTTTTTATTTGTACTTGTAC